GGGGGGGGCAGGGTGAGTCTCTAAAGGGTCTTGGAACACACTCTAGGACCCTTTGGAGGCTCACCCTGCCCCCCCACCAGGCTAGAGGGGGCAAAATTGCCACCTTCTGGGGCTCTTCTGAAGCTTTCCAAACCTCAAAAGAGCCCCAGAAGGTGGTGATTTTGCCCCCTCTGGCCTTCAGGGGGTCTGGGTGAGCCTCCAAAGGATCCTAGGTTGTGTTCCATAAGACAGACCTCTCCATAAGGCTCACCAATTTTTAGGAGAAGAAAACAGATTTTTTCCTGTTTTCTTCTCCTAAAAATTTGGTGCGTCTTATGGAGAGGTGCGTCTTATGGAGCGAAAAATACGGTACTTATGTTTGAAAAATATGCAAAATACTCAAAGACTGCTCCAGAATTTATTTATTTATTTATTGCATTTATACCCCGCCCATCTAGTCAATCAACTACTCTGGGCGGCTACCAACATATATAATAACGATTTAAAATATAACAAGATTTTAAACATCAATAAACAAGTTGTTCAAGATGGAAAAATAAAGAAAAAAGAGGAAGAAAAAAAATCAAGTGTTCACTGGAGGGAAGGCCTACCTAAACATCCAAGTTTTCAGTTGGTTTTTAAAGATACCCAGCGAAGGGCATCTTTTTAATTCTTTTAAACGTAAATTAAAAGAATTTACTTTTAATTTCTGTAAGCTAAAATGTTAATCTGTATAATTTTTTCATATATAGTCATCTCTATTTTCGCCATCTAAGTGTAATTAGAAAGGATTAAAAAACGTGTCACTATGTGACTTCTAAGATGGCATCTTAGCAATTTATATTTCTTTGACATAAATGTTGTCTTCTTTTATGGTGAACTCCTGTTCTGCTCTATGGACAGAAGTAACCAATCATGAGTTTCCTGTTCAGAGTGAAATATAGCTGTCAGTTTATAATGGAGCGGATAGAAATCTTGCAGTCTTAAACTGTGGTTTCTGTGTGTAGTAATAGAGAATGAAGAGATCTCTAGGCTTTGAAATGTAGCATTGCTTAGTTTGTGGACATGGCGTAGAGTTTCTTGGGTTATACCATGAAAACAAAATGCTGTGAACGAAGAAAGGAGGCAAGTACAGGCCTCCCAGAACACATATCAGAGCATGGGAACAGCTGAAAGGGAGAGTGGCATAGAGTAGTTAAAATGTCAAATGAGTGGTGATGTAAAAGAGCAGGAGTTGAAAATGTACTAAGCACTATGTCCATACTCTGTAACTGTACAAAAATGTGTTACACTACAAGCAGGACACTCTCTCGTCTTTGTGATGAATTGTCTTAACCGTACTATGATCTTTCCTGATGCTTTTTGGTTGTCCCAGACCTGGAACAATCTATACACTTACCTTTTACAAAGGAAAAAGTTACCAACATTAAAGATTTTGAATTAAGCTATCTGATTTTTTTTAATTCACCGTGTATACAAAATAGATAATATAGTTGTATTACATCCTTCTCAACAAATTAATAAGCCAGCCTAATAAACAACCAAAATCTAGGAGGAGAAAAGAACAAGACTTTTATCACGATAGCCATTCATCATTTGATTATCCATTGAAGTCACATTATGCAAATTTGAATTGTTTTACAAGAGGGTCTCTTGCCATTTTACTGATATGGTTTAGGCATAACCATGAGGATTGTGAATGACCAGTTCATTCTTCATTTGACGCTAACAAGTGTGACTCTGGATACTGTTTTCCAGCCTTTGAGGCAGAAGATTGTTATTCATGAAAATTCAGACTGAAATAAATCTTTTTGTCTTTAAGATGGTCACAATATTTCATTTTTTATTTTTGTCATACATGCTGGAGTGGATCAATAGAGCTATGTCTTTGAAAGCTGGAAACGGTTTTGTCTTTTTAGCAGCACTGTAACTTTGTCTTTACACTCATTAAGAAGGGATTAAAACATAACATATTACTTGATTTTCTGTTCCTTTTTGTGATAAATAAAGGGAAAGGGTATGTCTTAAATTTTCTCAAGTGTCCCAGATCAGATTGTCACATTTCCTTTTAGTTCTCTATGTATGTTTAAACTCCATAAAACGTGCCATTTAGCTCTTTCGGCTTGCATTTTCTTTTATTGAGAAGATTTGGGTGATTAAAAGGATGGGGAAAATATCTGGTTGAGTGTATTTGTACATACATTTCATTTCATTTCATTTCTTTCTTTCTTTCTTTTTTGATAGGAACCTCCAAAACCGTCTCCAAACAGTTTTAAAGTTGGAATGAAGTTGGAAGCAATAGACAGAAAAAATCCTTATTTAATATGCCCTGCAACCATTGGGGATGTTAAAGGAGATGAAGTTTTTATTACTTTTGATGGCTGGCGAGGGGCATTTGATTATTGGTGTAAATATGATTCTCGGGATATATTTCCAGTTGGATGGTGTGACTTGACAGGAGATGCTCTACAACCCCCAGGGAATAGTGGTAAGAATGTTTTATAGTTAAAATGTCATGCTTCGTGTTGAACTGATATTGATTAAATTTTAAGGTTTGATCCAGACTTAGTCATACTTAGAAAAGATCTTCTGAGGCCAGTATTTTTTTTCTTCATTTGTATCAGAAGCACCATAGTGAAATTAATTAATTAAAATATCAGATAATTTTCTCTCAGTAACAGGCAACATCAAAAGCATTCTGGGCCGCTGACATTAGCTCCTCATGATACATGTTGAAAGGCATAAAGTTAATTGACATACAGTAGGTGTGAAGTTGCTTGTTTTCTGCACTCAAAAGGGACTATGACTGTGCAAAAAAACACCCCAGTTTTCTTAGGTTTCCTGTGTTCTGGCAACTCCAGTTTGTATTCTGTTCCATTATTTCCAGATATCTCAGTTCTCCATGTGACTGGGGCAAAACTTTCCTGGGGTTCCATCCATTTTAGGAAGTAGGTAGTTCTTTCCACGTTATAGTTCTCATGTTCTTGTCTGTTCCATCAAGATTCACAGATGTTCTGAAAAAACTTCCTTGAGTTTAATTTGGGAAGAGTGGAACATCAGCCAAAGAACAATTGATACTGGGAGTTTTTCACTTTTAGCTGTGAACCCCCTTCCTATTTCATTGAGTGCAATGGTCTGCTAGGTAATAAATTTTATCAATAGAGGTTGGCTTCAATAATCATCCAGTAATAATTTCACTTAGTGCTATGTCTAACTGTTTGCATGGGGTGAACTGTACCACAACAGGCTGGAGTTTTCACCTGCAGATTAGTAAAGGTCCAATACTGTAGTTCTTAGTGTTTGTGTGCCCCAATTGGTACCTGATAGCTTTTGAAGAATCTAGACGAGCCTGTTCTGTCCAAAACTTTATAAAGATGATGATGCAGTAAGTTTCAATTTTTTTTTGCTCTGAGAGTTCTTTACTAGCTGTCAGAATAACAATCACTTGAGAGTTTCTCCAAATTTTCAGAATCCCTAGAAAGTCAAGATAATTGTTAAAGAAATTAAAGAATCACCTTTTTTGTTACTGTGTCAAAATGATTTATCTCTTCTATGTGGATGTTGTCCAGCCTGTTGTCTTGTCATCTGTGCTACAAAGGACTTTTTCCAATTTGGTTAAACTGAATTGTCTTCTAAGGTCACTGGTCTCCAGTTGCTTGTTTCTTTCAAGTTATGGTTTTCTGTAGCAATGTTCAGTTCTGCCATGAGGGAGGAGCTGATGGGCTCCCTGCTTTGCCCAAATACTTGCATGACTAGAGCTTTCTGTTGGGTCATTGTTAAGCTGCTTTAATCATATCCAGGCCTTCTGATTATTTCTTGAGATGTTTATTTCTTCCATTAATTTTATCAAATTATCACTTTTAGTTTTTGAGTATGAGAAAATTAATTGCTGTCCAATCAAATTAGATCACTAATATCTGGGTCAACAGTTACATCTTACGGAATTTGGTGTATCTGTTTGAATCAAAGCCTTCAAACCATGCATCTTGAAGGCTTTGATTAAACTGATAAAAGAAATAGATCAGGAAAAAAGTGTTTGTTCTCCATTGTTGCATAATGTAAAAAAATCTAACTAGAATGAAGTAAAACCTAACTTTAACTCAATTTAAATCTGTTCATTAACACAGTCTACTGAAGAAATGCAGTCCTATGTGTCTACTTAGGAGTAAGTCCTTTTGTATTCAGTGAAGCTTATGTAAGACAAGCAGCTGTAGGACTGTAGCATAAAATTGTATGGTATTCTTTCTTACTTACTTACATTTACCTCCTGACTTTCCTTCATTGAGCTCAAGGCAGTGACCTCGTACTCAACTTGATCCTCACAATAGCCTTGTGAGGTAGGGCAGACTGAGAAAGGATAACTGGTCCAAGGTCACTTTCCTTCTCTTTTATGTTCATTCAGAGAGACTAGAAACTTTTTGCTTCTGATTTTTAAACAAATCCCCAAAGTGTGATTTCTGATCCTTCAGACCAACATTTTCAGAATTATAATGTGGAAAATATTATCTACTTCCTAAAATGGATGGAACCCCAGGAAAGTCTTGCCCCAGTCACATGGAGAAGTGAGTTATTTGGAAGTACACTAATGTAAGGTGTGCATACAGTGTCAATGCCTGTTTACTTTGGGGTTTTGGATTAAACCCTGCCCCCACCCCATGCAGACAGGAGAGGCTCTCACACAGTGGGGATGAAAATTAGGGGGAATGTTGCCTCTAACCATAATTTAACAAACTATTTCACAATCTCATAAATGCCAGTAGTTTACACCTCTTTCTAGAACTTTAACACAGTGAACATTGCATCCTTCACAGGTATTAATCTTTAGGTGTTTTCCACTCATTGCATTTCCATCAGAAATGCTACTCACTAGGTGAATGTTTCCCCAAACTTGAGTCCCTGGATGTTACTGGAGTAAAACTCCCAGAAGCCTTCACCACTAGCTATGCTGGCCAGGATTTTTGGGAGTTGCAGTCCAAGGGCATCTGGAGACCAAAGGTTGGGAACCACTGCACTAGGTGCCTATAACGCTAACATAACCATACAGCATTCACAGACAGAGAAGTTTTTCCAACAACACATGGATTGAAAGAGAAGTTTTACATTGCAGACTTCCTGTTTCTGGTACCTTCCAGGTATGTTGGATTACAGGTATCCACCGTCCACTTACAGGAACTGCTAGGAATAATGGGAGTTGTCCTTCAACATGGGAGTGCCAGGTTGGGGATGGTTTCTTTAGTAGATGCCCAACAAAAGCTTGACTGTAGTCCTTCCTCCTCCACAATCAAATAACTTAATTTTCTGGGATCCATTATTAGACAGAGTTTGAAAATCTGGTGATTTGATCATTTATTTCTTGCTGCTGTATTCATTACCAAAATGCTTCCAGAAGCAATTCCATGGTTCAGAAAAGGTTGGGGACCACTGGTCTAATAAACAGTTTCAAAAGAACAAGGGATGCAGAAGATTGCAAGGAGGAAAGCAAAGTCAAATGCCAACCGGTAGAGTTCTTGTAACTGGAGTCATTGTAAGCTGTTCGGAATCCGACAACCTGATTATGACAGTAACTACAATATGTGATAGCTTTTTTTTTTAATGAGTCTACACAAAACATACTGAGCATTATTTGTCCAACAGCCATTTGAGATAATCCTAAAGCAATAATACAGTGGTGGTATTTGTAAGCATTTTAATTGCTGTTATGTTTGTTAAGGACTGTCTGTGCTACTAAAAAAAGTTGTTTAAGCCTTCAGAGCTATAAAAGGCAAAAAAGGCAAGTTAATACTCTGCTTCCCCACGTTTCTCTTGTTTCCCTGGTGTGCTGCAATGAAGCCCTTGAGGCTCAGTTTAGCAAGACTGCTCTGTTTCAAAAGACTGTTAACAAAGTTGTTGTTTAGGATGAGAGACCAGGGGCAAGGGTGCTGAGAAGTAGATGGCATGCAAGAGACCCCAGTGGTTGATGTCTTAATTGTTTTGCTAGCAGGGCAAGAAACAAAATGGTTTGTTTTGTTTGTGAGATGAGAGAGGGCTATTGTGATGTAAAGCATGGTCCTGAAAAGAGCAAACATGCTTTCTGCTCCCTTCAGCTACACAGGCTGTATTAATTACTGCCATTCTCCTCCCTCACTTTTTTTTAATTCATTGACATTTTAAAACAAATCCTATTGAGACTATCACATCCTCTTAGGGTTTTTGGCTCCTGTGGCTTTGTTGAGATAAAGTTGCTTATGGATGTAGTGGGCTGGCAGCCAGATTTTCTTTGCATGCCCTCTAGTTTCATTATAGATTCTCTGACCTCATTTAACCTTTGATCTCCTCTTGAAAGCTGGGGTGAGTGAAGTATGAGCAGGTGACTGATGGTCACTGTCAATAGAGCCTACAGACAATATGTAGGTTGCTTTAGCAGTCTCCACTCTCTTTCCACCCCACTTTCTTTTCCTCTTAAACCAACACATGCAAATAGCCTTGCCCTGATTTGCTAGCTCATTTCAGTGCTCACTGTCTAAGCAGTGTGGGATTTGCCATAGATTTGCTTTTTCAGCTTCAGTCCTAGTAAAAAAAAAAAGCAAACAGACTGGGCCTGAATTGTCTTCTCACATAAATGTCATTTGGACCTCCTGGCATGTAAAGGTAGGAAAATTAAAATAACTCACATGTTGTCCAGGAAGAACTCTTTCTTTGCTGTTTTGTTCATCTTTATTCCCAAGCTACTTATTTCAAAGAGTTTAAAGTTGTTTTGTGTGTTTCTACCAACTGTTGTACATGGCACTGAAACTTGTATGTGTGTGTGTGTGTGTGTGTGTGTGAACTTCATTGTGTTCTCCCATTTTGGCTGATTAATTGTTAAAAGTGAAATTTTAATACAGAGACACGGAACTGTAGACCAAATGTATTATGTAAAGCTAAATTTGACTTTAGTTCTACATAAAATAGAACAATTGAAACGAATGGGACTTGTTAGTCATAAGTAAATTAAGTCTCATGGATTGTGGTGGGTTTACTGTAGGTATTAATGTTGGATTTGACGCATAATGTTTTCGGGATGTTTTTTAAAAAGGGTATTACTTTGAGTGAGACGTAGAATCAGTAGTCACTTTTGTATTTATACCATATTGGAATATTTATCAGTTTTTGAACACGTTACTGGACTTTTAAAACTTTGGCAAAATATATAACATAGTAATAAAATAATAGAAATAAATATATTTTACATTTTTGGAAATCTGTTGATCAGTTTCCTGAAAAAGAATAGATGTGTGTGTGCAGCAATCATTCTGTCTTCAGAGACTTACATTTAAAATTTCAGCTTATATGAAAAATACTTCCAGTTGATTCGTTTATATCCAAGAACTTATTTAAAACAGTTGATTTATTAGCTGAAATCTTGTATATGAAAGGACATTACACCTTGAAACCATTATTATTTACTTATTATTTATTTATTTAAAATATTTCTGTCCCACCTTTCTCCCCAAAAGGATGCAGGGTAGCTCAGTTAGATTGCATAACTAATCACCCGTCTCCTGAGTCATTCATTGCATGGCACACATGTAGTTGTGTTTTATGAGTACCACATAGCTCTGCCACACTATCCCTTAACTCTGCCATAGCTTCATATTGCACACACAGAACTGCACAATAGCCATTGTGATAGTTTATTTTGCATTATCTCCAAGTTTTTGATTAATTTTAAATATAAGGGAAAACACTACCACCAATCATTTGTCAATTTGGCTGAAAGTTTGTGTACTGAAGGATCCCAGGATGGGTGGGGTTGATGAAAAGAAAAAAATAACATTGTAGCTTATTTTATGCTAAAATTAGTCAGACATGACAAGGTATGTGCAGGCTAGAGGCATTTTGTTTTACTTGTAGTGTTTACATAATGAGCAGTTTACTTTTGCTACCATTTTTCCCCAGTGCAGAATGTTCCTCCTTTGAACATGAAGCACTTGTAACTTTGGTTATTTTTTAAATGCAGTGTGTGCTGTGTTCATTAACAGTGACCAAAATTGTGCCATAAGAATTGTTAGGGGGTAGGGTATTAATAGTTTTTATTTTCCTATTGAAACAGTTGCAGACTTTTAAAAAAACAGCTGCATAACTTTTAGTTCACGTTATTTCTCCTGGCTATTAGAAAAGTAAGTTGAACAAAACAGAAAAACATTCTTAAATTTTATATAAAAGGTTTGTTTTTTTTAGGGGGGGAAGTATCCTATTCTGTAAGTCACGTAGAGAGATTAAATTCTGCACTTCCTTGTCAAAATGAAACCAACCACATGCATCTAAAAGACCAAGGGGTAGGTCTGAAGAATAATCTAAAACATTCAACTAATCAGAAGCAAGGGAACATGGGTGATTCGTTTGTGAAGAGCCATCATGAATATTATTGTAATTTTTGTGTTCACTTTAGCAGGATCTGTACAAGTGAAATTCTCAGTGTTATCTGTAGTTTATTGAGTGTCACTTAGGGTGCAACTGTACAGCAAGGAAAATGTGAATTCACTTGCATTCACTTGCTGTGAAGTTGCACCATCTGATTCAGGTCTCTTTGATTTAAAGTAGCGACACAGGGAGATGGCAAAAGCCTTATTATTGCAGTTCTGATGATGTGCCTGTAGTGCAAAGATGGCTTTCCTTCCTCAGTTACTCATTTCCTCATCTTCTCCATTAAAACAAAAGTTCCTGCCCACTGATACAAACTTTATTAAGTTGTAAAAAATCAGACCAAACCACGAGTTCTACTGTGGGGGAAAAGCTGTTTTAAAAAGTGTTTGGGAGAGAGGCTTTGTTTGCTGTGTGTGCTGGTGCTGCTTGTGTGTACATGTACACAACCCGTTGTTGTGGGACAAGATTTGAATGGGAAGGTGCCATGGCAAAGCACTTTTTTGTGTGTGTTTGTATGCTTGTGCTCGACTCCTCCTGTTTTTCAGCATTAGTTCAAGCAATATCACATTGGAACCATTTTTTTTTTAAAAAACCTGTATTTGAAAAGTAGAAACCTGAGTAGTTGAGGGGAAAAATTATAATAGGGAGGGGGACTCTGGGCAGATTAGCATTTGCTTTGGTGGCATATGATCAATTTTTTTTTTAAAAAAAAATGCAAATCACCCTGCCCCAAACCAAGAGTATTTTCCACATTTTTCCTAGTATAATCACAGCCTTAGTTAGGGAATTCCGGAATAATTTGGCTGTACTCCTGCTAGATTTCCCAGCAGAGCTACAGCCTGCTTAGCCCTTGTGGTGACATGAGCCGCTCAAAGAAGAAAAAAACAGGACTTCTTAGCATAAACAGGATCACCTGCTGACTAAACCACTGGTGAAGGATCAGTTTTCTCATCTGTTTGAAAAGTTGTCAATCCTAGTCTTACATTTCGGTGTAAGTACATTAACCCAAGCATTTTTGTGCAATAAAAATGCTGTGTAAAATCTTAGTTCCTAGAATTCCGTTAGGATCACACAGAATAAATGGGCAGTTGTGCAAGAAGCCCTGTACCTGTGGAACTGGGCGTCTGCCACTTGTTTACTCTCTCCACTTGGGAAAATGACTGTGCATCAATTCACCTGTCCAAGGCATCTGCTGGACAGGGAGAGACAAGGGGAAACTGTAGCACAATTGCCGTGCCTCACACTGTTTTCTTCTCATTCCTGATGCATGTGTAATTTTTTTACTTGCAGTTTCTTGTGCAAAGAATAGTACAAAAGCCCAGGCATCCCCTTCCAAAGTGACCCGGCGCTCAATGCAGTCTCCACAGAAATCTGCTTCTCCAGGTTCTGTCCCGGCACCAAGAGGCAGGAAACCTAGTCATGGGAAGCCACCTGCTCCACCTACAGCCTTGAAGAAGGGCAAGTCTCCCAAAAACAACCCTATGACAAAAACCACATCCCATAAGGAGAATCTCAAAAAAAGGAAAAAAGGCTTAAAACCAGGAAGGAAGGTCAGCAGATCTTTACTTTCACATGTAATGTTTACAATGTTTTCCTATGCTGTTTTGTACTGCTTTCACTACTTACTATTGCACAGTTTTAAAAAGAACAATAGCGTTTATGTGTGTTGCTTCACACTTCTTCAATTTTGTTTTATGCAAGTTCTTTACTATCAGTGCAATCCTGTGCATGTTTGTTCAGGCTTAAGTATTACGATGTTCGGTGGGGCTTTCTCCCAAGAAAGAATGTCTAATTTTGCAGCCTGAGCATTTTAGTAAATACATAGTCTTTCCCTAGAGAAGGAGGACAAATTATGTTTTGGAAAGTGCTGGAGACAAAATTAGGTGTCCTTGGTTTTAGATGACCCTATTTTAACAAAGGCTGTTTTTTCTGACTATCTTTCTCCATTAGTCTCAAGCCAATTAGAATGTGGTTGCCAGAAGAAATAGCCTTTTATTGAGTTACTTGTTCACCTCTCTGGTCTGTTTAAAAAGAGTGTTCTTCTTGCAGATTAGATTCACTGAAGTTCAGAAGTGAACAACACAATCCTATGCATGTGTATTTTGTTGTGCGTTCAGTTCAGTGGGAGTTTCTCCCAAGTAAGTGTAGATAGAATTATGCCCTCATGGATGTTAATGTCAGTAGCCACAAAAACAGTGAGGCTGACAATTGGTATTTTGTGTTACTTATTAATTGTAGCAACTTTCCATCCAATGAAAGGAAAAAAGTGCAAGTGTGATGCAATGCCAGTGTGACTATCTCCAGCTGTTGTTGAGAGCCATATCTGAGGAAGTAAATTGTAATTCACAAGAGCTCACACTGAAATGAACTTACTTGTTTTAAAGAGCCACAATCCCCATGTTTTTGCTTATGGTGACACAAAGTGTAATATGGTACTGGGGTAATAAAGCCCTCTTGTGTGATGACCAGTCTTATCAATGCTCTTACGTGACCTCTTGCCCAAATTATGGTAATGACTCTGACTCTTCTGGAGAGCCTTTGAAACATGGGTTGGATCTAGAAGTAGTGAAGTTGCAACCCTGATATCCTTTGTGAACTGTTGAATGCAATCCAGAGGAAAGACACTTTTTAAAACAATTTAAGAAAAAGCTATTTATTTGTTTCAAACAGAAAAAAAGCTTACCAGTGCAAACACCGGTATTTTCTCCTCCTCTGACCTCTGCAAAAATGGATAACAGTACCACCCAAATACATAAAGATGGGCCTGGTATCAGTGGTACAATGGCAGCTGTGATTTCAACAGGTGAGCTGATCTGCTGTCTAGAAAAAGGGGGTAAGGGAAATACACTTTTTCAGGGGATGTAGCCACCTGATTCTTGAGTTACTATAAAGGTACACGGGAGTGCTAAATGGACAATGAGATGAAGCCCAGTTCTAAAAATAGTTAAGAGGTTTTGACACTGGATCCAGTTCAGAGTTTTTTGTATAAATTTGAAACCCATTGAAAGAATGTCCATGGTGATCCCAAGTACCTTTAAAAGACAGAAACTACCACTTTTTATGCATGCATGCAGCTTCGCCTTATTAAAATAAGGCAATTTCATCCATGTTTGGCTCTTACAAACGTAGCTAACTGCATAGTATTCCTTCTAGCTAGTGCACTGGAAAAATGAATCTGACTCAGCAATGCTAGCCGTCTCCTTTGCCTTCAGTTTCCTGTAAGGTATCTGTCATGTCCCTCTTTCTTACACCAGTGTGAAAGTGTCCTTTGTCTTGTCACTTGACTGTTGAGTAACAAGACAATCACTACAGGAATAAAGTGTTTTCTTTAACAAACTTCACTTGGTTCCTCTCTTCCTCTTTCCTGCCAACAACCTTTAGGTGCTTCTATGTGTGCTTGTATATTTAGCTGTTCATAACACCTTCTGCATAGTGAACTCAGCATTGCTTAGCTTCAGTTTATCATCTCTCTCCCCATCAAAATCCCAGCTCTCATATTCCAAAACCATTCTCTCCCTGATCATTCTACATCAGACTGCTCCAGCCAATCAGAACCCTTCTTACCAAGATTTCCTGACCCACACTCCCCCCCTCCCAGCACATCCTGACCAAACCAAGTAAACAGTACCTGTAGACGTAATCAGGCATCATAGCATCATACAGAAAAGACCCTAACTGATGAAAGGGACATAGTGTCTTCTTTGATGTTGCTGATGCTTGATCAAGCAGTGTGCCTCTTGATTTTCTAACCAAACTGCAAGAGACTCTTGTGCTTCTCTCAGAGGTAGAGAGAGTTATTTTTCCCGCAACTGTGGTGTGTCTTTGGAGTGTGATCCTATTTTCTCTTCGCATTCCACCATTTGGCCTGTTCTTGCCCTTTTAACAATCATTTTCCCATTACTTCTTTGTTTTCTAGATTCTTACATAGCTGCTAACCAATCTTCCCATCTTCCTATTCTTTCCCTCTCCTGCATCTCTGGTACTGAAACTTGATATGAAATCTTTTCCCCTCCACTTTTCTTGATCTTTCTAATGGTGTCATTTCTTTTTGTCTTTTATTCCCTGCTCACTCACTGTATATTTAACATATCCTTACTCCTATTTTTATTTAGCTTGGTTCTAATCTTCTTTTTCCTTCTACCCCACATTCTCCCAGACCCCCTTTTACTACTTTTTTGTTTTTCTGTAGTGCTTGTCTTGTATTTGTTCCTCATTTTCTAGCCATTTTTTTCCTCTCATACACTCTGGACATTACATTTTGGACATGCAGCGTCAGCAATACTAAACCTACCTCTGTAATAAAAAGCTTTTCAGTACCACCTCAAACACTGGCTTGTCATCTGAAGAGTAACCCTTAACCCACCTTTCCCATCATCAACTTGAAATTAAAGTTATGGTGGTAACAAGTGTTTGTTTAATGTGTTTAAATGGTAGATCTTAGGCTTGCTGCATATGCTGAAGCAGTCCATGCCACGAGTTTGGCAAGAGGGTTTTGGATAATGTTTCCTATCCATGTATGGGGAACAGGGTCTCAGTCTATTTCTCAGCAGCACTATGAGGGCAAACAAAATGACAATTAGAGATTCTGAAGGGATTTCCCTTTTGCTAAAGCCACTGATTTGTCGATTCTTGAGAAGTGCTATTCCCTCTCCTGCATCTCATTTCCCTTTTGCTAAATCCACTGATTTGTCGATTCTTGAGAAGTGCTGACGGTGTGGAAATTCAGGGATACTCTGGAGGTTAAAGTAGCCAGGAGTACCTTGCATGGGCAGTGATAGAGCACCGGCTGCCCCTCGTCATTTCTCAAATATAGCCACTGACAAGCCCGCAGGATACATATAAATGTGCAAAGACATGGGTTTTTGGGCAAGTGTAGGCAAGCCTGCCTTTTCTATAAGAATTTCATAATATAGTATTTTATATAGAATATATATGTTGTTGTTAAAGGGTAGGAATGTTAAGATTAATAAAATGAAAGCCCCTAATCATGATTTTTCTTTTAGTTTGTGTCTATGTTAACAAGCATGGAAACTCTGGGCCTCATCTGGATAAAAGGAAGGTTCAACAGCTTCCAGATCACTTTGGACCGGGTCCCGTGAATGTGGTGCTTCAGCAGGCTGTGCAAGCCTGTGTGGACTGTGCTTACCAGTCAAAAACCGTCTTTGGATTCCTTAAGTCCGGCCATCATGCAGGAGAGATGATTACTGGTATTTTATTTACTTATATTGTATTTTATTCTGTCTTTTTACAAAGGCTGCATTGAGACATAACACTAAGCCAGATTGGCCGTCTAATGAGCAGCAAGGACAGGATTCTTTGGAAACCACACACAAGAAGATCAGGTTTTGAGACTACAGATTTTTTTTTCATTTCTGTTGCATTCCACCTGTGCACCTGAAAGGGGACAGGAACCACCTGCACCAGTATAACTCATGTTACAGTTTGAGCAGAATGTTCAGAAGGTGAATTCCCAATAGCAGCAGTTTTGGTTAAGCTAGCATCGTAACTTTTTTTTAAAAATATTTTACTGTGAACTGGGCTTGGATGCCAAACAACCCGGGTTAAATGATTTGTAATGAATGGTTCAATTAATTTCTTTTCTTCATGCAGGAATTACTAGAGCAGGAGCAGGTATTGTTTATTTAGCAATTTTGAAAAGTCAATTGTTGTTTATTTGTTAAGTCATGACCCCAAGAACCAGAGCACGCCAGGCCCTCCTGTCTTCCATTGCCTCCCAGAGTTTGGTCAAATTCATGTTGGTTGCTTCGATGACACTGTCCAACCATCTTATTCTCTGTCGTCCTCTTCTCCTCTTGCCCTCACACTTTCCCAACATCAGGGTATTTTCCAGGGAGTCTTCTCTTCTCATGAGATGGCCAAAGTATTGGAGCCTCAGCTTCAGGATCTGTCCTTCCAGTGAGCACTCAGGGTTGATTTCCTTCAGAATGGACAGGTTTGTTCTCCTTGCAGTCCAGGGGACTCTCAAGAGTCTCCTCCAGCACCACAATTCAAAAGCATTAATTCTTCGGCGGTCAACCTTCTTTATGGTTTAGCTCTCACTTCCATACATCGCTACTGGAAAAAACCATAGCTTTGACTATTCGGACCTTTGTCGGCAAGGTGAGGTCTCTGCTTTTAATATGCTTTCTAGGTTTGTCATCGCTTTCCTCCCAAGCAGCAGGCGTCTTTTAATTTTGTGGCTACTGTCCCCATCTGTAGTGATCATGGAGCCCAAGGAAGTCAAATCCGTCACTGCCTCCATCTCTTCCCCTTCTATTTGCCAGGAGGTGATGGGACCAGTGGCCATGATCTTGTTTTTTTTTTGTTTTGTTTTTTGAGCTTCAGACCATTTTTTGCACTCTCCTCTTTCACCCTCATTAAGAGGTTCTTTAATTCCTCCTCCATTTCTGCCATCAGAGTGGTGTCATCTGCGTATCTGAGGTTGTTGATATTTCTTCCAGGAGTCTTACTTCCAGCTTGGGATTCATCCAGTCCAGTCTTTCACATGATTTATTCTGCATATAAGTTAAATAAAAAGGGAGACAATATACAACTTTGTCATACTCCTTTCCCCATTTTGAACCAATCAGTTGTTCCATATCCAGTTCTAACTGTTGCTTCCTGTCCCACATATAGATTTCTCAGGAGATAGAGAAGGTGGTCAGGCACTCCCATTTCTTTAAGG